TATTCTAAAATAGATAATTCTAAGATTAATATTAAGTTATATTAATTCTATTCTTATTAGAATAAAGTTTCTTAGTAGATTATTACTAAGAGTATAACTAGTACTAGAATAGTAGTAACTAATATAAGATCTACTACTAGTCTTAAGAATATTATAATCTAGAATACTAGTTAGTAGTATTTATAGTATATAATATACTAGAAGATTTATTAGATATACAGAGTATATTTATGTATCTATATCTATATCTATTACAGAGGGTCTAGAAATAGAAGTTTTAGCTATATTACAGTTGACTATCTCTATCTTTTTAATTATAGTAATTAAGCTATTTCTTATTATCTTAATAGTTCTTTATTTTATTATTATATCTATTATCTTAATATCTATTATAATCCTTTCTATAATTATTATATTTAGTAACTTTATCTTACTACTAGAATATTTATTACTCTAGATATTATAGAAAGATTAATAATATAGTATACTCTTTAGACTTAGATATATTATTCTATAGATTAGGATTGAGGTACTCCTATATTATATACAACTAATTATATATATTATTAATATAGACAGATTATATATATAATAGAATCTCTTAGATAAAAGTACTAACTAATTAATTAGTATAAATATCTTTATATAAATATATAATACTATTAAGATAGTGAATAGTATTATATATATTAAAATAGAATTAATATAATAACTTATAGAACTAATTATCTTTAAGACTAAGAATATATATTAAGTACTTTTTATAATTAGTAAGTTTAGACTAGGACTACTTTAATATAATATTAATAAAATATATCTAAATATTTATCTTAACTATAGCTTTATCTTTATAATTAATAACATTATAGAAATAGTTAATAAATAGATATATATTCTAATAATATATCTTTTAATTATTTAAGTTCTTATAGTAACTAGCTATTAGATTATTAGAAGAATAGTTAGACTAGAAATAGCTAATCTTATTAGTTTTCTACTAATATAAATACTTAGAAAAGTTGAATATAGAATCTTAGCTATTATATTTATTATTATACTTAGAATTATAAAGATTTCTATCTCAATTATTATAATATCTATTATTACTACTATAATTACTATTATAACTATTTTAATATTAGTTATCTAGAGAAGATAAAGAAGAATTATTATTATTATTATCTCTATTATTTAAACTAGAGTTACTAGAGTTGTTACTAAATTAATATTAATAATATCTTTTAGAGTATTTATAATTTTAATATACTAAATATCTTTTACTATTAATATCTTAATATATTAAGTATTTTTTATTTTCAATATTTTAATATATTACTTCTTTAGCTTCTTAATATCTTTTATTAGTCTCTAGATATCTTATATCTTAAGATAGAAGTAGATTTAGTTTATTAATAATATTATTATAAAGACTAAAGTATTTTTTAATATATCTAGAGATTTTATTATTTTAATATCTTATATTCTCTATATTTAGATATCTATTAATATCTTTAAAATATATATTAATATTCTTATTAGTAATATAAATTTCAGCTTATAGTATAATAATTAAAATATAAAGATCTTTTTATAAAGAATTTTAATAAGATATTTTAGAATTAGTAATAATAATAGGATTTATTAGATTATCTAATATTTAAATAGCTAGACTACTAGACAGCTCTTTATTAGGATTAGCTTACTCTATATTTATTATTCTAGATATACTAAATATACTAGTATTATAAATCTCTATATATTAGTAGTATACTATTATTAGATATATAGTAGATAATATATATATAGGATTAAGTAAGTTAAATTAGTTAGATATCTTAGAAGTAATAGAGTATTCTATATTAGTAACTAATACTATACTTATAACTAATAAGAAATATATATATTCTAAAGAGTTTAATACTTTAGTTCTAAATCTAGTATCTAACTTATACTTATCTTACTATATATAATAGTTAGATAGATCTAAGATATAATATATAAGATATAGAAACTTAGAGATAGTTTTATTTAGAGGTAGATAATCTATAGACTAGTCTAGTAGCTACTAGAAGTTATAATTTTAAAATAGATTAAGTATATTTAGCTGTATATATTTAGTTTATTAGAGGATATTATTATTAAGCTAGTATATAAACTTATATTAAGTATAAAGCTAAAAGTTCTATAGTTAGTAAACTAACTTAGTAAGATATTCTTATTTATTTAAAAATAGCTTTAATATTAATAGTTTAGTAGTTTACTTTATACTTATCTAAGATATTTTTAAAGAATTAAGAAGATTATCTATAGATAAAGAAGATAATTTAGTATAGTTAATAAAATAATACTATTTTCTTTTATAAAGTCTTAATAATATATAGATTAAATAATTAGATAGCTATTATATATAATATATAGAGTTTAGAAGTAATAAAAAAATAAGATTTAAAGAATATAAAAATAATAAAAAGATAAAATTTAGAGTATTTTTATAGTAGATAAAGATTCTATCTTATAATTAAGATACTAAGAAAAAAAGAAAATTAAAACTATCTAGAATCAACTCTTTATTCTTAATAAGAAAGAACTATTCAGTCTTAATAAGAAAGAAGATATTATAGTAATTAAGAAAATAGAAGATACTATAATAATAGATTACCAATATAGATTACTAGGGTTAAATAGAAGATATTCAAGTAGATAATGTCATGGTATAGACGATTCATGAATGGGTATGTTATTAGTTAGTTGAAGACGGAAGACATCAAGATGGGTGGGAACGAAGTTCTCCCGCTAAGGCGGCCAGGAAGGCGGCCAGACAAACGGACGGCAGAACATCATATCAGCAACATTCGCCACAGATAAATAGATATTAGATATAGAGAAGTAAGTAATTAGCTTCTTAGATAAGATCTAAGAATAATATATCTTAATATACTTTTATATATTATAAAGCAGAAAGATATATAAATTATAATATCAGAAGAAAAGATATAATCCTTAGATATACTATAGAATAAAGTAGTCAAGTATATATACTATAGAATAAAGTAGTCAAGTATATATACTATAGAATATACTACTAACTGTAGTAAATTACTGTGTGTGAGAAGTGATCATAAGGAAGTTATTTATTTTATTAAGGGTCTGTCTGGGAGGCTGGAGGGTTATATCCACAGCATCGATCCAGGCGATATAGGAAGGGACGGAGACCTCAATACGCCAGGAAGGCACAGAGGCCTGCCTCTATACAGCAAGCCGCGGAGGCGGCGGCCACAATATAGATATTATAAATTATTAGCTTAGATAAAAAGCTCTAAATAAAACTATTAATATTTATTAGATTCTAATTAATAAAATAAAAGCTAATAGTCTAACTAAGTAGTTTAGAAGTTAAAAATACTAGTAATTTATTAATTAACTTAATATAGTAAGAACTTGATTATTTATCTTTTTTCTATTTTAGTAGTATATTTATCTATCTATTTACTCTAATTTTAATAGAACTACTAAGTTCTATAAAACTATAAAGGTATATTAGACTAGTAAATTATCTAACTACTAAATCCTAGCCCTAATTCCTGGATTAAGCTATTTAAACCACTAGTCTAGTCTAATCTATTCCTAGTTATTTTATCTCTATATTCTTACCCTGGATTCTTACTCCTATATTCTGAATATTTTGGTTTCCTAATTAGGAAATTAAAAAACAAAGGATTTTAGCTTAAATAGCCTACTTTATTCTACTATTTTCTGAGGATTATCCTGAATTATTCTAAACTAGTTGACCAGATATGTATTAAAATTAGTATCTTGTTTATTTCTTTATTTATTCTATCTTTAATTCTTTTAATCTTAATTATCTTTGACTTTAATCTTGCTTTGACTTTACTTCTATTCTCAGTTTGTATAGAAAAGTGAAAGTTAAATGAAGCCCTAATAAATTCCATTTAAAAAGAACTGAATCTCCAACAGAATAATACTTAAAGTTATATAATAACTTATTAAACTCAATATTATTAAACATATTTAGTACTATTATATAAGAACTTCAAGCATGGAGAAGAAAGAAGAAGGAGAAGAGAATATATATTAGTAAAATAGATATCATATTATAGCTCTAATACAAATAATATAAACTGAGTAAACAAGACTAATCACACAAAGCAAGTAAACACAACAAGTGGAGTAATCAAGATCAAAAGGATCATCAAGGTCGAAAAGGTCGTCTGTGGGGTTGATCAACTGACTGGCCTTCACAATATAATAGTGAAGATATAACTAATCAGTAAATCAGGATAGAGACTAGGATGTCAGATAATCTATAGTAGAAATAAGAAAGATAGGAGTAGTAGGTAGAACATGGAAGTCTTATAATTAGTAATATCGAGATACGAAAAAGTTGATACAGAGTCTGGTATTTGATAAGATAGAAGATATAAAGAATCAGGAATATGATAATTTAATCACTAAGGACCTTAAAGGTGTATATTATATCCTGGATAACTGGATATGCTACCATATGTTATGGTACAGATGGAGATCATGGATAACATAATCAACAGTTGGACGGCCCACACGGTTGGGCGGCCCATCTGGTAATACTATATAAAAGACTCTTTTCAACTACAAGTTATCTTAACTATTATAAGTTTGGAAGGCTTAATAATATATAAATAGATTATAGAGTATATAAATAATTATTAAATACTTTTTAAGAATTTATATAAATAGAAATAGTATCTTATTATATTATAATATATGTATTTTATATGAAATTCTTAATATATTAATATACTTTATATAAGGAAAATTCTTTAAATTTTAAAAAAACATATACTATTCTTTAGAATATCTATTATTTATACATGAAGTTAGAACTAATTAGCTCCAGTATTGGTTGAGATATAATAGTATCAAATAAGCATCTTTTATATGGATAACCAGATGGGCCGCCCAACCGTGTGGGCCGTCCAACCATTGATTATGTTAAGTGGATTGGTTGATTAAGATGGAAGACATCGAGGATCAGTCAAGGCGAAGTTCCGCCGCTAGATCGGCCAGAAAGGCGGTCACAGACGGGATGGCAAAATATCGCCATGCACGACATACGCCACAGATACCATATTGTTGGTGACCAGTACCATCCTTGAGTAAATCTAACCTATAAAGCTGAAACACCTCCGCTATACTCCGGAAGTCAAGTGGGTAGTAACTACAGATATATAAGCACAATGGACAAAGAACGATCAATGTCAGGCTCTAGACATATTATGTTTTGTCTTCGCAGAAGCTGTTTTAAGGCACAGCTAGTAATGAAATCGCGATAAAAGGGATGGAAAGAGCCTTGAGGATCGCCAGTTCTGAGTAAGAGAGAAATGCAAGGCTCTAGTGATACCGATCTTACACAGGAGCAGCTTATAGAAAAAGGAGCACTGAGCAATCACCGCTTGCCAACCTCTGCTAGGGGGCTTTTCGTCGTAACCAGGTGATCCTTGTTTAAAAGGTCAGCAAGCGAATCGTTGATCCTTGTATCCTGTCTTTGGCCGAACTGTGAAAGTAGTCCTTCTAGTGACTTTTCCGTTTCTAAACCCGCTCTATCAAGATTCTTGGGAACGTCTTTGAGAGTTACGAAGGATTGGTCAGCCTCCGAGCAAGGGAAAGTGCAATAAAAAAGATGCGGCAGAGAGCGACATACCAAGACTCTCATATTCCCACATGTTAGCCTTCATACCAACCCCATGAAAAGCATACTTTCTCAAGAAAGCCAGCCACGCTTGAACGGTCTGAGGATTGCCATCCTTGATCTGGATCAACCGACGAAGTGTTATACGCTCAAAATTCTCTTGGCTCTTCTTATGAACGAAGTTGCTCCGAGGTACGGTCCATCGCTCGACAATACGTGGTAAAGGTACAGGCCCAGAAACTGGAAGTCCGAGATAATACGCAGCTCGTACAGCGAAATCTGCGAAGAATTCGACGTTCCGAACATTATATGACCTCAATTGGAGATCACATACTGGAAGGCCGTACTCAGCTTTTCTACGAAGCGGCCGCAGATACACTGCTTGTACGCTTCGCGGCAACCGTGCCTTGCCACTTAAGCCATCCAAACGCTGCATCCTAAAGTAACAGTTAGCGTGTTGTTCAAATAGTCCACCTTGTTTCATGTGAGAACTGAACCAATCTTTGGCTTGCAGCTTGGGCGACTCAGTTAGCTGTGTAATTTGACTGGGACTAGGTTGGAAGTAAGCTCAGATGTCCAGGGGTAGGCCAGTATATCAATTTTGCTGACTTTTGATTGTCTTTGGTCAAGCTGGAGGCGCGCGGTAGATCATCGCTGGAAGAATCGGTCTCATCTGGCCATAGCGAGGAACTTGAGCGTCGAGACCATACAAGAGGCTAAACCATGTTGATATCAATATGTATTTCTCTTTGGCAATATCACATTGGGGAGGCTTACCTGTAGTCGTTGGCCTACTCGTGAGAGCAGACGTGGGCAAGATAACAGAGACATGAGTCGACGTTTGATCAATGTTCTCGAAACATCGAAGACAGAGGATATTAGCAGCATGCTACATTTTCCGCGGCCCTTTTTGTCCAGGAGGCGGTCGGTAACCAGGAATGTTTTCATTGGTTTGGACTAATTATGGTTGACCGCTTTTCATGAGTAAGCTGGGTAGCCGCGCCTGACATTGTACGTATAGTTGAGTCCTCATGGAAGGCATGGAAAGTTAAGGATGTAAGTATTTGCGCGGGATCTGACTTAGTTTTACTCTAGAATCCGTTCTTCCAAAAAGATACATAATCTTTCAAGCTAGGCGTCAATCCTCACTGATATACCCAGTCCCGAAATCGAACAGCTTCCGCTGCCTGAATCATGTGAGGGATTCCTCACTAGATACTTTGAACTCGGCTTTTCTCGTGACTTCAAGCTGCTCGTTACCGAACACAAGGAAATCTGTCGAATAATTCAATAAAGTAGATTGGTCGGATATCGCTCAGATGCCTGAGAGGGCGGTCAAACGAAGCAAGCTCAAGGCAAGTCTGGAGCGAGGTAAAGAACGCGCGCCTACAAGTCCGACCCAATACCCATTCGAAACAGCCCACCGCAGGGTTTATCCGAGCAGACTACAAGGGGATAATACGCATGAAGACACCACCAATGCCCAAAAGCTACGTGCGCATAGGCTTGCACAACAAAAGAGACAGAAGCGTGCAGCTCGAGAGCAATTGTCTCCAATCCAGCATGATAACCACGCACGTGAGAGTTACCATGCTCAAGATGTTGGGACAACACGTCCGAACCGGCAACTTGTGCAGTCGCGCTCTGCTTCATCTGACACCATTCCTCTTACAAACGGAGGTAAGCGGAGTGGCAGTCAGCTGCATTCTGGCGGCGAATCACCCCTCGTGACAAAGAACATCAGTCCTGACCCTTCGCTGGTGGCGGCTAATTCCGAGGCCACTCACTCGAGCACACCTTCAATATCCAATTGGAGTCCTCAAATTAGAGGCGGACTTGAAAGAGATTTGCCAGACCGCGAATGCCAGCAGATCCCAAGACTCGCACGCAGAAGGCTAGTTGACTCATTATGTGCAGCAGAGGGATCAATCCTAAAACCGGTTCTTGTCTCCGCCTCTCAAATTCGTGGAGCCAGTACATCTACCTCAACAGGAAACCTAGGAGATCCTGGAATACTCCCATCAGACCTAGCTCAGCAGCGCCAAGCTTCTGGCCCGTCACTGGACAATGCATGGGAGGCAGTGAAATTGACATCAAGTCGTACGCAACGTTCCAGGATGACATACGCTCGTCAGCGCTCTTTCCTGGGAAGTAGTCTGGACACGACTGGCCCTGGACTATCTCATGCCACAGCTACAGCGCTCGAAGTCGTACCAACTAGAAGGTCACCTGCACCCTTTAAACATCCCACTTTACCCACCTTGTCGGCTGATGCTGAGGAACATGACAGGCCTGTCCGTAGCATACATGAGCTAAGGCAGGCTGGGGATAATGCTCGCTTTAAAGAGTCGGTCGAAGCACTATTGGATGACATTGAAGACTCGTGTAACACGATTTCCGAGAGGTGCAATGGATTTGTTCAGCTTTGTTCAAAGCTGCTTGAACCCGACTTGATGCATAGATTCTCAGAATGCGACTTTGGCGAACGGCTCGTCAGATGTACGATGAGTGATATAGACATCATCTCCATGTGTCTAGCGCTATGTGCATATCGATTGATCTGCCTCGAAGGGTCAAATTCAAAGTCACATCTGGGAATGTTTTGGACAATTCTCGTCGATAAATCGCCGTCACTCCTGAGTGTTCAAGACGACTTAATCTCCTTGGCGAGAAAGCCATCATCTAATATTTCGAGGGCCATGCAGACATCGCTTCGAGATCTCCTACCGCGCTTGGCGTCTTCGATATTCCCAGACAACTCGTCCCCGAAACTTTCGCCTCATCTGGCCGTTCTTTCCTGCATCCAATTCTGCTTGACAGAATTCCGAAAAAAGAGCCAACCTATAGATTTGATGTCCTCATCCTTGATAGATAAGCTTATTGAGGCCCTGCTTCCCAGGAACGACGAAATCGCCACATATCCTTTATCATCTGTTGACTTCCAATCGAAAACAACAATTCTGCTTATTCTGGAAAGCTACTTCATGCTGTCAGTTACGCCAGGCTATAATTATAGCAGCCCTTTTCGAAAATTTGTCCTACTGCATGATGGCTTCGTACAGCCGGCTCATGACGAGCAACGCAGACAAATCCAGGCATTGTACTTGAGGGTCATATTAAACCTCACCAATAATGAATATTTGGCATGTGAACAATATGCAAGACCTGAGATGATGACTGGATTTGTTCGAATTGTAAGCTTTGAGTTGTCCATTGCGTCGTCCGATTTCGCTGGCTTTGATGACCAAAAGTCATTCAACCTCGTTATCTTGGCCCTTGGAATTCTCATCAACTTGGCAGAACAAAGCGAGAAATGCAGAGCCTCCTTTCTTGTGCCAATGGATGACTCCCAGCTACCACTTCAGATACTTGTGCAGCATTTCTCTATCGGGTTTGACCTTATCAGCCATGTAAGTGATGGAGGTCCGCTATCTAGCAAAATTCACCGCTTATATATATCCCAGGCAAAGTCCATTTTAGAGTCACAATCCAATGTCGCTGTTGGGTACTTGTCAATATTGTTGGCTGTTCTATGTCTGCATAAAGAAGTACACATTCGAATCCGGGAACTGCTTTTGGAATGCGGTAAAGAGGTTGCTTCGGTCATCTCAACAGCCAGGGAATTTTTACTGTATCATCGAAAAATTGAGAGCAGTTCGCGTCTCGGCGAGGTTCATAGTACCGACAACTCGTCCACAGCACGTTTGGCACGTCTCATTGAACAGCTAGGTCAACCGTAGATTGAATTAATTTCATTTGGCAATGCAACTTCACATATCGGACAGTCGCTCTAAGTTCAGAGTCCAATGATGTACAAGCTTTCAAGCAGGGAGTCTTGAGCGTCACCGTTCGCGACGGGGCGGACAAAATGGCTCCAAGCCACGATACGACCGATCGGGCATACTGTATGCATAGATATTTGCCTACCTATGTGTAATCTTTATGAGAGAGCCACAAGCACTAATTAACTAGTTACATAGGTAGGTATATTTAGCTGGCTGTAACATAGTAGTCACAGTACAAAATATGTTAGTTTCAATATTATGATGATAGATAAACAAGCTAATCCACGGAGTACTGAATAAGGCGTCCTGGTTACAGCCGACCCTGTCATGACATAATATGTGCAGCCGTTTGATTTGTTTGCCACTCTCGGCTCTGATTCAAATGCCCCGAATTCCGTCTTATGATGAAGGCGGTTGGGACAACAAGAATTTATAGTTTCTATCTTCATATTAATTTGTCTTGACCATTCATATTTCACAAAGCTGTGTTTCAGAGCGAACCAGCACCAATAACCAAATCTCGCTGTGTCAGTATACAGCTTGGTCGATAGGCGCTGATCAGCGTTGCTACTCAAAGGGAAGATGCCTAGTGCTCCAAAACAGCGGAAGATAGCTATTGTTGGCAGTCGCTCTGTGGGTAAGAAGTCATTGTTATTTCTCAATACTGAGAAGAACCAGTCTCGAAGCTCATCTATTGTTGACTTACTGCTTCCCAGGTAAATCTTCTCTTACAGTTCGATTCGTTGAACATCATTTCGTAGAAAGCTACTACCCAACGATTGAAAACACATTCAGTCGCATCATCAAATACAATGGACAAGATTTCGCAACTGAAATCGTCGACACAGCTGGTCAAGTGAGAAGGCGCCCCGTGACCTGATACTGAGCGTTGCTAATTCGGTGATAGGACGAATACAGCATACTGAATTCAAAGCATTTTATTGGAATCCATGGATACATTATTGTTTACTCGGTGTCATCTCGTCAATCATTCGAAATGGTTAGGGTCATTAGAGATAAGATTCTGAACCATCTGGTACACTCTACTTCTCATTCAGTGCTGCCCCATCATACTAATGCAACATACAGGGCGCTGACCACGTGCCTCTTGTGATTGTCGGGAACAAAAGTGATCTCAAATCAGAGCAGCGGCAGGTACCACTAGATGAAGGTCGGCAGCTGGCTGAAGAGTTTCATTGTGCATTCACTGAGGCTAGTGCTCGCCTTGATTACAATGTCGCAAAAGCCTTCGACTTGATAATCGGCGAGATTGAAAAGTCTCAGAATCCGTCTCAACCTCCCGGGGGTAACAAATGTTCTGTAATGTGATTTTTCTCAATGTCACTGGGTATAATCGTGCTGTAATATCTCTAGGTGAGCTTCTGGATTTGGTTACACCAAACTACCTACAAAGCCTCGCTTTGTCCTATTAGTGTGGTGATTTTGGTCCTTTTAATAGTTCAGGCGACAAGGAACTTGTTAGTGTGTCGATAGTACCACATTATCAAACA